TTAAAATGACTGATATGTTATGATCTTCTTGTTTGTTTTGTCTCTAACACAGGTACACCTTCTTCAAGGTGCTTCCTGGAAATTATGACATCACTGCTTCCCATCCTTCATGGACTCTGGAGCAGGTTTGTAAAAACATTTTAACATGTATTTATTGTTTCTCTTGAGACACAACAGATATGTTTTATCTTATGTTGCGACGTCACAGTCTGTTTTATTTTAAGAGTGATCCAAGCTGAAATAATATTACTTACTTCAGCTTCTAATGGTGATGATGATGGTAGTGATGGTGGTGATGATGGTGATGATGATGTCATTCTGGCCATCACCATAACTGTGGCGACTTTTACTCTAGAGTTCCACCACGGCCCATGTTTCCAATGCCAACGGTGTGGCCGCTGACCATCTGGTGGTTGGAGGTTACGACGTCTCAGGAGAAGTTCGCAGTGATGGAGAACCAATGAAGGAGGTCACCTTCCTGCTGTACTCAGCCACTGTTAACAAAGAGGTAGGAGTCCAAACTTATGGTGTGATTTCTAACTAACCATGATGCCTTATGGCACTGTTTTTCCACCTAGAGGTCGCCAAGTGATCATTGAAGTAACTGATCCAACAAATTTACTGAATAAAATATATATATATTTTTTTTCAACTCTTTATTACTCTTTTAAAATTATGATTAAAAACATCACACACAGTCTTAAACAACTGTATTCTTTCACTTTCATGAATATTAATCCAGTTTAAATAAAATGCAGCATATAAAAGTATCTGAGCTGGTACATTTTGATTGACGGCTGCAATGACATGACACAAGTGATGGCTACTAAAATGCCTCTGGGGTCACCTGAAATTCTGGTGTCAAAATGTGGTCACGAGCCAAAAGAAGCTGAGGAACCACTGCATTATGGGAAATTTTGCCCCCACACTCCAACACATGGCATAGTTTTTGAAGTATGCAGTACCTCTGAGGTTATTATTGATTGATTGTTGACATAATAAGCAGATATTTGGGTAAAATATATAAAAAAATATATTTGCTTACACTTATCTATATGAGATGATTAAACTCTTGAAATAATAGCTACATTTAGAACAGATATTAAAATATTATAAAATGTAAAATGTATGAACTAGTTTGTCACAGTGTGTCAACAATGTACTAATTAAGTCAGTGACCTGTGTGTTATTCTTCCACAGGTCATCAGTGACTGTAACATGACTCCTGTGGACGGAGCAGATGCCGGAGACGACTCTTTGGTTTATCTGTGCAGCGTTCAGTCCAGGGAAGATGGAACTTTTACTTTTCCCTCTCTGGCCAGTGGAGCCTACACTGTGGTGCGTTTTCTACTGTCAGTGAGACAGAACGCGTTTTTGCTCAGCAGCAAGATCAATTTGCTGTCAGTGAAATACACAAATGTAATTTAATTGAACATTTTTAAATCCCCTGGTGCTGTGTTTTTGTTCATCTATTTATCCAACATTGTATTCAACTGCAACTTTATCTGCAATCCCACTGCTCTAACACCAGGGGGCTGAGTGCTCCTCTTAGATCATGTCGTGCTGCTGTCTAATGGGCCTGTTGTCTTTATTCACTGCTGTCTCTGAACATTTTACATGTGATGAAATGATGTGTATGGAACTCATGTGAACACATATTCAGCTGTTGGTTTCCATTCTGTGGTTGACTTCCTGCTGCTTTTACAATCTGTGCATCTCTCTCACTCGCTCGCCCTCTTTCTCTCACTCTTCTTCTCCCTCCCTCTCTCTCTCTTTCAGAAACACACACACTCATTTTACATGCAGGCCTTCTTCCAGCTAAATGCGCTGTCATTGAATTATATTATCTATAAATTAATACATTAATCCCCTCAGGTGCCTTTTTATAGAGGAGAAAGAATCACTTTTGATGTCGCTCCATCGAGGATGAATTTCAAGGTCGAGCACAACAGTTTAAAACTGGAGGTAAACTTTGATTTCTCCATGTTTTTCATTTCAGTTGGTACAACTAGGGGTTGTAAAAATTGTTGAATTACTGTTGTTAATTAAGTTTTGAAATTAATGAGAGTTTCAGCCACTGTATATATTCAATGACTGAATGACTAAAACCTATCAAGATACATTTTTGCTTTTACTTTTGTAGATTTTCTTGTTACTTTTTAGTCAAAACGTCAACCTGCATCAACCATTACCTGTGATTAATCATGATAAATAATTTATTTGCTAACTTTGTTGAAGAAGGTGGATTTGTTTATAATGTGGATTTAACAGTTTTTGGTGCTTGTCTTTGTGCAGCCCATCTTCAAGGTCATGGGCTTCTCCGTGACGGGCCGGGTCCTCAACAGTGTGGGAGGAGAGGGTGTCTCCGACGCCACTGTGTCCCTCAATAATCAGATCAAAGGTTATTACTACACAAATGAAATTTAACATTGTATTGTATTTATAGTAAAATTTGATGAAACCTCTTTGTGAATTCTTTCTGTCTTTACAGTTCTGAGTAAAGAAGACGGGTCCTTCCGGCTGGAGAACATGACAGCTGGTACTTACACCATTCGTGTCAACAAGGAGCTGATGTTCTTTGAGCCAATCACGGTGAAGATTGCCCCGAACACACCTCAACTTCCTGATGTCATCACAGCAGGGTACGTCCAGTTTGCTCCCTCACTCAGTCAGTCAGCTGTTGTCAGTGAACGTTGGTTCTCATCCCTTCCATTCATTTCTGTGTCTGGTCTAGTGCTGTCTCACAGCGTGCTGTCTCTTCACGTCTACTCATCTCTTATCTATCTCATCATGTCATGTTTTGCCTTGTTGTCTAGTTCTTGTCTGTCTCTAGTTGTGTCTCTTCTTGACCTGTTGATCCTCCTCTTTCCTCAACTTGCTTTTTCTCCTGTCTGTCCTTTACTCTGTAGACATGAGTGAAGGACAGGACAGGACTTTTCTATTGTCTTGTTGCGATCGATGACTGTGATGGTACTATTTCACCCTCCAGGTTCAGTGTCTGTGGTCAGATCTCCATCAGTCGTCTGCCTGAAGGCATGAAGCAGCAGGGTCGCTACAAAGTCACTCTGAGCCACCGGGGTCAGGTGAAGACGCTCAACAGGGTCATCGAGTCTGATCCCCAGGGGTCATTCTGTTTTCAGGCCAAACCTGGAGACTACAGCGTCCAAGTAAGACTTAAATCTTCTGCAGTTTCATTTTAACAAGTGGAGCCAGGACATATCAATAGTCTGGTCTGCACCAGTTCATAAATCCATTAAAAGCAAAGACACTGTCTGTGTTATCTTTGGTGAAACAGGACTGTCTGATAACAGGGTGAAATTAGAACACGTGTTGAATTACAAATCAAATCAGAGCATCTTTAATTCACTGGACTGTGAGACTCTGAATCCTCATTATATTAGCTGTCATTTACACTCACTGATTACAGTCACAGCTCCACAGTTCCAGCAGGTCCTGTTGAAATGACCTGAAATTTCTTCCAACCATTTGACTTTCAAACATCCTTCTCTAAGATGTTCTTGTTGAGCACAAGTATAAAAATATTCTACTGCGTAACTTTAATTTCTCCTCCACAAATTTTTTTAAAGGTCGCTCTTCCTGAGACAGAGGTCAAAGCTGGACTGGCTCTGCAGCCTCAAGCCCTCCACATCTCCCTAGTGGACCAGCCCCTCACTGACCTCCTCTTCACACAGTTCATGGCTTCAGTCTCCGGAAAAGTCTACTGCTTAGGTAACCGGCTCAGTTCTACTTGATAGCTCCACCTTCAGATAAAGAAAATCACTTATCACAGGTACGAAGAATTAAAATGTATCTAAAAAGAATGTCTAAATCCCTAAATTATTTTGAATAATATAATAAATCTGCCGTAATCAAAAGAGGCCTGCAGCCCACATGCGGCCCAGACACAACCTCAGAGTGACCCAGTCTCTGATCATTTAAGAAATTGTCCTGATGCCTATGTTTTGTCCACGTTTATAAGAGTTTAAATTCTTTTTAAAAATGTCCTTCACGAACATTGAGAACAGATCAAACGTGCAACGCATTTTGAACCAATCGTAACAATTCATGTGAATTGATTGACAGCCCTCTGTCAACGACACCACCTCACAGAAGTCCACAGTTCTGTGGTTGTCAGTTCCTACTGTCTGATGAGCTGACCTCTTCTCTTCTGGTTGACCTACAGCCTCCTGTGATGACCTCTCTGTCCTGCTGCAACCAGTGAGTCGACAAGGAGAGAGATGGACGGTGGCTCTGTCTGGCAGCAGCGAAATCCTCAGTTTCTCCTTTGACAACGTTCTGCCTGGAAAATACAAAGGTAAGAAGCAGAACTGTCTCTCAAGCATCAGCATGCACACAATAACACAGAGACATTAATTAAAGGTTTCATTTTAGTGTCTGGAATAATATTAGAACACAAAAGTTATACAAGTTTACAAGTTATACAAGTTTAACTCAAATCCCCCGTGACGGTCAACAGTTTTTCATTTTCAAGGAGTGGGTGACAGACAAGCTATCAATTATTACCATTGTCAGTATTTTATTTAATTTTTTTTTATTTAACTGTTTGTATGAAAAAAATGAAAGAAGTTTTTTATTATTTTGATTTACTATACTTTTATGTTTATGTGAGCTTATTCAATCATTTTATTCAATTTTCTTTTTTTTACTTTATTACAGCTGTCCTTCAGCAGGTGGCGCCCAAGGCAAAGCCTGGTCCAAAGTCATATTTTCCCCTTTATAACTTATAATATTAAAAGTTCTCATTAATAAGGGTACTTAGGATAGTATTTTTCCCTATCGTTGTAGAAGGGTCTTCAGTTAGTTGTTAAAATATACAAATTTCATTGTAATTTCATTGTTTTTTTTAATTTATTTTATGACCTAAATGCTCCTGTTAACTGGAGCACACAGTTAAAAATCTGAGCAGTGTGTTTGATAGTCGCAGCCTTGCACAGTGCTGACAGAACAGACTGGAGTTTTATTTTGACCTCCTTGCCTGGAGGAAGAAGCTGCAGCTGAGCTTCATTTTTTTTCTTCTTGCCTTTGAGGCCGAGCAGCCTCCTTGTCTAAAAAGGATCTTCATGATGTGTAACCTTCTGGTCAGCCACCTCCACCTGCTAACACTACTGTCCTCCAAGAAACTGAGCCTGCTGGAGGGCAGTTTAGTGCAAATGGAGGTGAAGATGAAGAATGTCTGTGAAAGGAGGTCACAACAGGCATTGTTGGCGTTGGTAGCTAGATAGAGGTGGGAACCATCTTACATCTACAGCTTCTTCTACTGATTTTTTTAATTTTTTATTAAGTAGAATCCCTGCCCATCATCTCACTCCTCCTGGGCCTCCATGACAGATTGAATAATTTTCTACATGTGTTTCCTTTTAACTTTAAACATCTTTTTGCTGACAGTGTCAGGCAGCTGTGGCTCAATGGGGGGCGGAGGAGAGGGAGGGGGTGAGGGAAGGAGAATGTCAGCAGTTCCCTCTCGGCTCCACCAGTCTAGGTACAATAGGTGCTGAAGTACGAGACACTGAAGCCTAAACTGCTGATTCTATTATGTGAATGATGTGTGATAGACTTACTTTTTCAGTGTCGACCATAAGCTTTTTTTCCCCCTTTCTCCTCTCAGTGAGTATTTCTCATGAGGAGTGGTGCTGGAAACACAAGTCCATGGAAGTGGAAGTTCTGGACTCTGATGTCCTGGGCGTGGAGTTCAGACAGATTGGTTACATCCTGCGCTGCTCACTGTCACATGCCATCACTTTGGTGAGCAGTCAATACCCAAGTTCAGTGGCAGTTGTTTTTTTTCTTTTACTGTTTTTATTCTGATCCCACTGTGGTTTGTTTCTCCTGCGCAGGAATTCTTCCAAGATGGCAGCAAACCTGAGAATGTGGGAATGTACAACCTGTCTAAGGGAGTGAACCGTTTCTGCCTCTCCAAACCCGGTGAGCTTCATCCTCTGCTCACCTCTCATTAGCTAAACATGGCATGATTTAGCATATTTGAAAAGACAACATCAGGCGTAACAGCCGTTCCCTGATGCATAGTCAGAGTTTTTTCAGCCAAGAGGTCTGTGTCAGACGCAGCTAAATATAAAACTGGAGCAAAGTCATTAATCAAGTGAAACTGTCTTGTCCAGGTGTTTACAAAGTCACCCCCCGCTCCTGCCACCAGTTTGAGCAGGACTTCTACATCTACGACACGTGAGCTTTCATTCATTTCTCTGATGAGAAGGTTCCTGCTTCTACACTTAGGTCACCAATGTTAAATGTCTCCTACAGCTCGGCCCCCAGCATCCTGACCCTCACCGCGGTACGACATCACATGACCGGTCTCATAACCACTGACAAGATCCTTGATGTCACTGTGACCATCAAGTGAGTCTTACTGCCCTGTAAGTTTTCTTTTTTACTTTAACTGTTGAGCACGAGTCTTTCTAAACTTCCTGGTTTTTCCTCTTTCCATCAGGTCGTCCATCGAAAGTGAGCCGGCACTCGTTCTGGGTCCACTGCGCAGCCTGGAAGAGCAGCGGCAGGAGCAGCAGCTGCAGGAGATCGAGGTACGTCGCCAGGAACGGGAGCGTCGAGCCGCAGAGGAAGACGGAGGAGCGAAGGATGACAGTCCGCCAATCCAGGAGAAGGCTGATGAACTGACGGGACCGTTCCACTACGAGTTCTCCTACTGGGCCAGGTCTGTGTTTTCACTGATGTTTGGTTGATAGTAAACTTTGCTTTACCCTTAAATGTCACATAAAAGTAAAAGATGTCCACATAGGTTTTTGACATGTACAGTGAAACAGAGCAGGCCTTTAATTGGATGGTTGGGGTTTGAATCCCAGCCATGGCAGGACTTTGGTGTATTGAGCAAGTTCCAAAAAAACATGCAGCCCACTGGTCTCGTGTGCCATGTGTCAATCACTAGGGTTTCTGGGAGAGGATTAAACATAGTGGCAAATAAAGGAAAAAGAACAAGGAGAAGAAGCCTTAGTCTTTGTAGTAAGATTATTTTTGGTTTGTTTTTTAGTGCTTGTACAGCACACCCACAGTGCAGGACTTCAGTGCCCCTCCAATTACAAATCCGACCACCAGTGAAGAGATAATTTCATTTGTTTTTATTCTATGAATAACGATGATAACATGACAACATGTTTGTACAGGGCTGGAGAGAAGATCACTGTGACTCCCTCCTCTAAGGAGCTGCTCTTCTACCCTCCAGAGGTGGAGGCCACCATCACTGGAGGTCAAATCTTTTTTTCCCTTGTTCTGATGTTGTCTGGCTTTTTTTATGTCAACAAAATCCGACAGTGAACCATAAAAAAACCTTCTTTGACAGAGTCGTGTCCAGGTCGGCTGGTGGACATCACAGGACGAGCGGGTCTTTTCCTCAAGGGCAAGGTCTCACCAGAGTTAGAAGGTGTGAAGATCTCCATCACAGAACGAGGATCAGCTGATCTGCTCATCACCGTGGCCACTGATGAGATGGGAGCATACAGGTAGGACGTCCCACTGACTCAACATAAAAAGAAAGGTTGGAGGGAACAACAAGATACAGTAGACAACACACAACACTGATGTCCACCTGGACTATGACAGGACTGTGGAATGAAAGTTTTGATAAATCTCAGATGTGCAGTTTTACATTTGTGATTTTGTCAAAGAAACAAACAATAGTCCACTCAAGTGTATTATTACTGCTGGTCAGGCATTTTTAACCAAAATATCTCCTTTTCAGTTTTTAATTTAATTAAATCTTTTGCTCTAGTGTGGGTCCACTGCACAGTGACCGTCAGTACAACATCAGCGCCAGCAAAGAAGGATTTGTTCTGAGTCCTGTTGAAGAATCCCAGGGAGACTTCAAGGCCTTCGCTCTGGCTGGTGTGACCTTCAAGGTAACAGTGACCTTCTGTCTGACATGAACTAGATGGCATCACATGTTAAACACATAGTGTATTTTTGATATGTTGATATGGACGCTACGTTTCCCATAGTATTTTTAACACAAAACATGTCTGTGTTTATATGTACCTATACTGTATGTGTATATATTTAATTGTACTGTATATGTACATATGTTTTTATGTATATGTGGATGTATTTATATAGTTTTATATTTATAGATATGCATATATATGTATATTTATACATCTAGTAGTGTGTATATATATATATGCAGAGTTGGAGAGTGAACCAGTATAAGGCCCATAATTTTATCCTGTCTCTTTTCTCTCAGATTAAATCAGAGGATGGTCAGCCTCTGTCTGGTGTCCTCTTGTCTCTGAGTGGAACCAACTTCAGGTCCAACCTTTTGACCCAGGACACTGGTCTTCTCACCTTTAACAACCTGGTACCGAACCAGAATTTTTTTTTTTTTTAACCTATTTATCCCAGTGTTGTCGAACATCAGTCTGGTGAAGCTGATTGTTTGTTAGCTTCAACCTCTGTTTAACTGAGGTGTATGGGTGTTTTAACTTTCCCACAGAGCCCAGGTCAGTACTACTTCAAGCCAATGATGAAGGAGTTCAGGTTTGAGCCGTCGTCTCAGATGATCTCTGTGGAGGAAGGTCAAAACCTCAGTATTGACATAAGTGGCATCAAGACTGCATACAGGTACTCAGTTATTCAACAGTTACATTAATCAGTTAGTCCATTAATTACAGAGGTTCTAAGTAGGTTTACATACTGTGTAAATATTCTGTGGTTCACACTGTGGACCAACTCAGCCTCTCTGTACTACTAGTAGGACAGACATTAAAATACAGATCTACTGTGTTCAGCTTAGACCAATATATGAACAAGAGAATTGAATCTTAATGAGATAATTGGGTGCTTTATCAGACATATACACACTGTTCAATGAAGTAGCACACACACACACACACACATATATATATACATACATATATACATACACATATACATATATATACATATACACACACACACACACCACAACTGCAGTCCCCACAAGGAAAGAGGATTCCCGTGTGTACCACTATAGGGAAACCAAGTACTATCAGTGCTTAATGAACCATAGTTTTAAAACAACTTATTTTGGTCTGTTTATTGTTCAGTAGAATATGGAGTTGTTCTAGTTTTTGAGAGTTTAGAGACATGAGTACCATATCTCCATTTTACTGCCTAACAGGGTCAACAGACTTCCAAGCATACCACTGGGGGGAGCTCAAGTAACCAGTGGTTCACATGCTGTAGTTTGAGAACCAAATTTTTAGGGGCAACAAGTAAATGGATGGTGTTTTCAGGATCATCTAACTTTCATTAGTCACCTTCAGAAGTGTCAAATGTCTCCATTAGGTCCACTTCTGGTCCGACCCGTCTTTATTTCTGGCTGTCGCAGTTTCTTATACTCTGAGCAGCCAGATTATCTGCTGTGTGGCTCCTACTTCTGGTCTGTGTAAAAAAAAAAAAAGAATTTCTTATCAGCATCATAATTCCATGACTTTGTCTCCTCCTCAGCTGCTACGGAGCAGTGCAGTCCCTGAGCGGAGATGCAGAGCGGGACGTGGCGGTGGAGGCTGTGGGTCAAGGAGAGTGCAGTCTCTACAGTGAGGACACAGTCACTGATGAGGAGGGACGCTTCAGACTCCGGGGTCTGCTGGTGAGGCCACGGGGAACTCTTCTAATCTTAATTAACTTCCTCAGGCTTTGGCGGTTAACGGTCAAAAAGAAGTTTTTACTTGCTTCAACTGTGTATTTTGACTGTACTTCTTGTAACTTTTCTGCCCTGAATCACTTGAATTAATGCTGTGTTTCCTTGTGTACAGCCTGGTTGCAAGTATTTGATTCAGCTCCGTGCAGAAGGGAACGATCACATAGAGAGAGCTTTACCTCAGCACAGGGCAGTGGAGGTGAGGATGGTGTTCAACACACTGCTATTGAATGTCAGTCTGAACTGTTTTTTTTTTTTTTACTGCAGTCACAGAATAATGAACTGGGAACATTGGTCACTTATTTTTTGAAGAGACTCCAGAAACACTGTGATAATGTTTCATCTTCAGCTCTAACATGCCGGCTTTTCTGTCTGCTGAACAAAAGCTGTGATGTCTCAGTCTCTAATTTGAGTCACACCTTCAGGACAGATCTGTGACACAGGACAGGAAATGTCTTATTATCACAGGGTGTACAACTGGTATGAAGCTCCTAGTTTTATTGGGTTTACATGATATAAAGTCTGTGTTTTTATTGTCCTTCAGGTTGGCAGCAGTGACATTGAAGGAGTCAACATCATTGCCTTCAGACAGATCAATCAGTTTGACCTGAGTGGAAACGTCATCACGTCTCCAGAACATCTACCAACATTATCAGTACTGTCTCTTCATGATGATGTCCAATGTTCTTCAACATTTGATATGATCTGTGTACTTTAGAGATTTCAGTTGGTGGGATTGAAATATCGCTGTCCTTTCTGTCTGTTCAGGTGAAGCTGTATAAGAGTGACAACCTAGACAACCCCATCAACACTGTCTCTCTGGGACAGTCGCTCTTCTTCCACTTCCCTCCTCTGGACAGGGACGGAGAAGTAACTGCCCTCATTTACTCGTCCTATGATCAGTCGTTGTTAGCAAACTGAAACCTTGGTTCACAGCAGTTTGTTTCTCTGTGTTTGGTCCAGGGCTACGTCCTGATGCTCCACTCCACACTGTCTCGCTCTCAGTTCGACTTCACTCTGCCTCAGATCTCCTTCACCTCCACAGGATACCACAAACACGTGACGCTCACCTTTAACCCCACTGTAAGACAGACTTATGGCAACGATGATGATGATGAAAACAAAACAACACAATGTAATTCCTGAGAAAAGCACTTTAAATATTAATCTGACCCTTCTTTTCGTCCCACTCCCAGCGTAAACTACCCGACCAGGACGTGGCCCAGGGATCTTACATTGCTCTGCCTCTTACTCTGCTGCTCCTGTTGGCAGCATACAATCATGAGAAGGTACAGTGACAGCGCCACCTGCAGCAGATATATCAGGGAAAGTTCTAAGCGACCATGGGAGGCGTCTCTGTCTGTGGTTGCAGTAACAGGAGAAGGGGATAGGGTCAGAGGCAGGCAAGTCTGCTGTGGCGCCCCCTGAAGGGTTTAGCAGGAAGAAAAAAGAGAAGTTGAAGATGTAGAGAAAGAGGTAGAATAGTAGGACAAAATTTCCTGGACATATAAATATCTGAAATCTGTCTGCTGCCGTGTTGTGCAGGTGATCCCGCTGCTGTTTCAGCTTGTGAACCGCGTTCAGGGAGTGAGGAACATGTCTCAAGTCAGCGGAGACAGTGCAGCCGTAGACGAGGCCAAACGTCAGGCCAAGAGACCGAAGGCCAGACGAACATGAGTGCAAACCAGGACTTGGCTCAGGCATCATCAGCGGAATAAGACACCAACACTGGCATTGACTCCATCAGCAGTTGGTGGTTAGAGGTTGGTGCTGCAAAGTCCAACAACAATCACTAAAACACACACACACATTGCCAAACAGCAGCACTGGACTGAGAGCTGACATTTTACACCTTGTTTTGTCTTTTTTTTTTCCGCCACACTTCTTTTTTCACGAAACACTTACAAACCTTAATTTATTAAATATTCAGCTAAGCTAACATCTCTTTAGTTTACGTTGTAAAATACCAGGATGAGTGTGATGTCAGTCTCTTTACGGAGCAGTAGGTTCAAGACAGAAATCTAACACGAACCTAAGAAAAGATCAGGGTCATTGGTGTAATAATAATTAAAAAAAAACAGTGAAAATATTTTGTTTTAATAAATCGTTTTTAAGGCTTGTTGTGAAAACATGCTGTTACAGTTTGTGGGAAACAAAAACATGAGAAATTCAAAAGTTTATGAACAGACAGAAAGTAAAACATTTTTGTAATGCCCCCTAATTATCTGAATTAATTTTTAGGTCTGAAACGTTTGTCTTAGATTACTCCACCAACTCCATTTCATGTGGCATCATATTTAAACAGTGACCACTGATGTGTCACTGCAGATTCATCTTCTTTATTGGAAACAAACAAGGATTTAGACAAAGATTTGAGCTGTAGTCAGGCATGTTACATACATGAGTGTTCACAGAAACACACTCCACTGATGCATTTTTTGATGAGCAGGACAAAGAATTGACTTCCTGTCAGTTTCTCTTTCACCCCAGGATGATGAAGATGATGATGAGGAGAGTGGACTTAATTAATTATTGATTAATTTATTGTGTGTCTAATCAGATGTTAATGTCATATATTAAAACTGTTTTTTTAAGGATTCTCTAGTTTAGTAGAAATCCCACACAGGAGAAAATCAGAAAAATGAGTTAAAAACAAGTAAAAAAGAAAATTTAATTTTGTTTTCAGGCTCAGCTCCTGGATGCACTGTAAAAAAAAAAATAGAGGCCAAATGTGCTCAGGATTATGTGCTGACATTCACTGAGACATGAAAAGGCCAAAGACTGTGAACTACGTTAAAGGTTATTCCAATTATTCCTCATTTCTGGGAAAGTGATTTTTTTTGCAGGGGGTGGGGGGTGGGGGGGTGATTGTCATTTGGTCAGAATCTGTTTGTTTGTTGTTTTTGAGATAAATAAAGTTTAACCAGAAAGAACATGACTGTTTATACTCTAGGGGGCAGTGTAATGCATGATTTGAGTATTCAAAAATGAGGGAAAAGAGCTAAAGATCTTTTTTTTCACAAGGAACAAAAGTGTATTGTGGATTTTTAATTAAACATTAGCAGCAAATGGGAATTAAATGATGGAAATTTAAAAAATGATCAAAATGATCTCATTATGTTCATTCACCAGCATAAAAGATATATTTCATCAGCTGTTCTGGACAGTTAATAATGTCAAGACCAAAGGAATGTTTGTTAAAAAGAAGTTAAAGACTGAAGAGCTCAGCAGAAAGAACTCAATCCTTAAATGGGGAAAGGACTCGGGAATATATATACAGTACTGTATATATGGTTATATATACAGTCTATGTATGTGTATATATATATATACGTATATATTATATATATGTATACATATATAAATACATTTAGACCACTAAACATACATATGTGTGTGCATACATGTCCGTCTATATGTAAATAATGCTAATGTTTTTCATGGTCATATAAATGTATAGCTAGACAGATAGATATGTTTGAAAACGTGGACCTAACAGGCCACATTTGTGTTGGTGTAGGCCACGTCTGGGTGTGTGGGCTTCACAGAAGTGTGTCCTACAGCAAATACTGTCTTAATGAGTTTTGTTGCACAAAGGCCAAATCCAGCTTAGGCTGCAAAGGCTGATAAGGCCCTGCAAAAATCACTGTGGAACATTGTTAGGTCAGCAGGGCTAAATATAGATATACTTGCCTTTATATAACTTTATAGACAAAAAAACTAATGCAAGTGTTCAGTCTGCAAAAATGGTACAAGTCTTATCAGTGTCTGCTGTTGTTCTGACCAATCACATTTACCCACCGTTACCACAGCAGCAGCAGCAGCACTGAGGTGTGTAATAAATACTGGTACAATCACAGTACACAATGTTGTCACAGCATTTGCTGTGGACCCGACCGTGAACATGAAGGATTTTTGGCCGTCTGCAAAATATGTTTTTATTTGCCTTATCATTTTCAGAGCATGTTTCTGGGTTACCTTGGTTTTTCTCTGGTCAGATTTTGTTATTTAGACTAACCTTAAGTTATATTGTTAGCTAATGTTGAGGTACCTAAGCATATATGTATACACACACACACACACACACACATATATATATATATATATATAAAATGTGTGTATGTATGTACATGTATGTATATATGTATACTGTATATATATATATATATATATATATATACGTATATACAGTATATGTGTGTGCAAATATATGTAAATAAATATATATTTATATATATTGTAGCCAATACACTTTAAGATCATTTTTGTGATCAATCTGTGCTAACTTGGACTCCATTGCTTCGTTGCTTCTTTGGCCTTTCTGGGTGCCGCTGCTTTTCACCACATTAATTATCACATTTCTCCAACCCTTAGTGTGATTCTCTGTAAACAGGATTATTATAACTGCTGCTCCCAGAGCTCAGTCTGTTTCTCCTTCAAACAGTCGTTCAGGCTTCTCTGTCCTCAGCAACATGTGGATTTATGGAAGCGTTTAAAACCAGGTCTGCACAGGAAAAAAAAGATCCATAATGTACCAAAACTTTCACATCAATCTACACTGCGGTACTTTTCTGGGGGAGGAAGACACAGTCTGCTGCATTTGGAAAAAAACATTGTCCCTTGACATCACCCCTCTCCATTCATATCAGCCCAAACTCCAGTGGCATGAAGCCCAGGCTGAGTCACCTCTACCAGTCATATTGCATTGGCCAGAACACAAGTCATTGTACTGTAGACGGAGGGGAGAGGAAGAGATGTGGAGGGAGGGGCAGCACACAGACACACATACACTGTCTGTGGCTCACTAATAGCAGACATTTGATGAGAAGGCCAGTGAGGAGGAAAGGAATTAAATATTCATTGGCGACGATGACAAGTTGGGCTGCGACGAAGAGGATGTGGAACAGAATCTAAGGCAGCTTTTTGTGGGCGATGAAAACCAGCGTGAATGTTCCCGTGTGGGCAGACAAACGCTAAGAGTTGGCCTTTAACACTTTTTTTTGTTGTTGTTTTTTTTACTATTCACAGCTTAAACCAGTGGTTCTGGATCTTTTGGATCTCCCTCTCCCGGGTGAGGTGAAACTAAACATCTGTCTCTCCCAGTACAACCTGTCTGATCAATGTTAAAACACAGCAGCACAGACCTACACTGTTCAGACCAGCGTGTGAAGAAGAGAATGTATTTTTAACCAAGATTTTAAGACTATTTTTCAGACAGCACTACACTGTCCACTCTCTTTTTAACAAATTCCCAAACCTGCAGTGTTTCATGTACCTCTAATAGAAAAAATACTCAAATGTACCAATAGAGGGAGCCTAAGTGGTATGTATACCACAGTTTGAGAACTACCAAATTAAAGCTGGCTTAAATGAATATTTACCCTGTTACCTATTATTCATTATGCATTATTATGCTGGGTTTTTTAATTTATTTTTATTTTATTTTTTTACTTTAATCTCGTTTTGTTCATTATGTTCATTGGCCAAACTTCCTCTACTGCTTGTGCTAAACATTTAATTGTCTGAAAACATATGAAAACGTACTTATTTAAATTATAAGATTTTTTAAGGTCTTCATGTGCTTTGTTAAAACCATATGACACCATGATGACACAGCAGCTCCTCCTCGTCACCATCATCATTGTTGAATGATGAACAATAATTATTTTTTTCGCTCTGTTTTTTTCCCCCAGAGATTTAGCAGCTCTGAAGTAAAACTGAGACCAGTCCAGCATTTAAATCAAACGTCTGTCTCTGTGAGTCAGAGTGGAGACATTTCTGCGGAGACACCAGAGAGAGGGGGGAGGAGAGGTGAGAGGAGAGGAGAGGGAGGTGGTAGTGACATGCAACGACAGTTGTCCCCGACTGAACTTGAAATGTAGGTGTTGTTTTCAGTTCTGCACAGCAGATAATTAAGAACAGACAGGTTTGATTAAAAGTACAAGGACACGGAAAACCGATGGAAGTCAAAAAGTTTTAAGACAAATTAAAATCTTTGTCTTCTTTATGTCAGTCTGCTCTCTTCCCCAGTGGTGTTTCCATCAGAGAATTTTTTTCTCTGTAGAATTCTAAAGGATGACCTTTGACATCAGGTCACGACCAGCTTCTTGATCTGGTATGTGGACAGAAATTCACTTCTTATAAATGTGTTTTCAGTTTTTACCGGAAATGAAAAGACAGGTAAGTTGAAATATGACTCTGCTTCTTTCTATCAGGCTTGTGATTTGATGGTTGCTAGTTTAAATCCCCCTTTTTTTCCCCTCCAGGGGCGGGTGTCTATTTTATTGATTCAGCGTCTTCACTCGTTATGGTGAGTCAAAAATATTCACTGTTTCACTGGTGCTTTAAATGCAGAAGTCAAATTTTATTCTGTTGTTAAACCATTTCTTCTCTAAATATTTAACGTTGAGTTCATCAATTTTTAAAGATATTTTTTTTTTCAAATTTTTTTTTTTTCCATTGAACGCCCCAACGTACTGGCAATGTTCTGTTTTTATATTCCGGCCTTGGTGAGTTCTTCTGCAGCCGTGAACATACAAACACACTCCTCGTGTTATCTGCCAGTCCACAAATTTCACACCAGTGCCCCCTGGATTTCCATTCTTCTGTTTGTGAACAGGTTGAGAAGGTGAAGTCACCTCACCCTTTTAAGTCCTGTCCAAACTTTCAGAGGGTCTCAGTGACCCGGCCACTGGGCCTGAAGCACTCCTCCACTTAGGACCACCTGGATGGCTGTAGCCCGTCCGTGTGGCTTTGAAAGATTTTTGAGTGCACAGTGATAAAAGCTCAGACATCAGAGTAATAAAAGGCTGTCAGGCTGTGAGGGAGATGAAGTCTCTCCCCCTACTCCTCTCCATCCATCTCCCTTTGTCTTCCGGCTCCTCTCCATTCCGTCAATGCTTTCCTCAGCTCACTGTTCCGATGCACTGGTGCCACAGTCTATACTGTGATCTGTGTGGTCAATGGAGCCTGACAGGAGGGAGAGGAAGAGTGTCACAGTAGAGGGGGAGGGAGGGGAGGCGTTATGTGGTGTGTGAGGGAGAAGTTGATCAGATTTAAGTTACACGAGTCCTTGAACAAAGTCACAGCGTGGAGGACAGCAGGTGGAGCTGTGGCTGCTGTCGCCCCCGCTCCCCCGGAGGAGGTCTGGTCCAGCGAGCCTCCGTTGGCTGGGACCTCCCCTCAGTCCATCAGCAGGATCAGCTGTGAATGTTAATGTAAACATTAGCTTGCAGCGTTAACAGTATTGATTATTGCTCAACTCCTTGTTACAGCTGCCCTTCCAGAGCGAGCGTGGGCCTGAATTAATCTAGACTGAAGACAGCGGTGGGAATATTAAGAGTTCTGGTGTGAAAAGGTCCGGGTGTGAAGAAAACTCTGCTTTTAAAGGACTAGTACTAGGTTTTAGAGTGTTAGAGTGAACAGTTGACCTAATCCTGCAGGGGTTTGAAGGTGAGTGTGACTGGATGCCTGTTAGATTCTCTGATGGTGTTTCTAACAGTCAGACTACAGGATAGTGTAGTTAGACTTGGGCTAAAAAAAGTGATCAGACAGTACTGCAGCTGACCACTATGTGTCACACTGGAGTTCCACATCTGTCCAGTGCAGTGATGAATGTTCAGAGTGTGGGCGAGACTCCATTTTCATGAGGTTTGTTTTAGTGATGGTGAAGGCTCAGCTTGGACCACACATCAAACCAGACACGATGTCACGTCTGGACTCGGAGTCGGTGATGAGCACATCTGTCACCGTCGTCCCATCGAGGCCGGCGTTTGAGATCTATAAATACATCGTGGCTTTTTGAAAAATCCCATCTTTCAGGATGATGGAGGATAATGAAAGGGGGAGGAAAGGCGGGATTAAAGTTTTCCACGTCTCACCCTTCACACTCTGCCGAGCAGTGGTTGGAGGACGGGGGTGAGGATGATGATGCTGCCACCAGATAACACACACACACACGTGTTCTGATAAGGTGGAGAGAAGTGGTTTTCAGATTAATTAGATTAATTAAACAGGGAAACAGTCGGAAAGGTGAGAACATGAGAGGGGTTGTGTTCTCATTTAATTTGATAGGTGAGCTGTGAACACCATCAGGAGGGGCGGTAGTGAGGGCGTGTGTGTGTTCCCGGTATAGCTATACCTGTGGGGACACTTGTCTATAGATTGGATGTGATTATGTTTGATTAGATGAAATGAAACCTTTGTCTGTCCAACATGTCTGTCAGGACAGTTTGGAGGTCTCCACTGGGTGAGACAGTATTTGGAGTCTCAAATTAGGATTACTGTTAAAGTCACATGAGAGTAAGGAATAAGATTAGACCTGAGGAGCTAAAGAAAGTTTATGTGGAGTACTTACTAAAGTGTTCGTGTGTACCTACCCAACCCAAAAGGACACCTGGTCCTTCCCAGAAACTGATAGCAGGATAGTAAAAAGGTTATATAATCTAATAATTTATGATACTTCATTTGTAAAATTACAATGTTTATATTTTTAAACCAAGTGCTTTTCGTCCATAATCTCAGTGTACATCCTCTTATTATTTCTTGAACACACAGTTAATCCATGTTATTTTAACAGACTGCAGGAACACCTCAAGCTTCAAATATCAAATACTTCTACCTGCTGTTATTTGTCTCCCTCTCTGAGTAACGTACCAGAAAACCTTTTTTTGTCTTCCTTTGTCTCATTTTTGTGACCAAATCCTTCCATCGCAGCCTTCCGTTTGTCCTAACATGTCCTGTCTCCCCCCAACACTGGTCTCTATCCTCTGACTCTGTGTGTGAATAATACATGATCAGCCTCTCAGGTTCTGGACATGGAGTCAGAATAAGGTTCTTGGTCTGCTCTGTTTCTCCTCCTGCTCCACTCCTGGGACCTGGGCTGGTCAGAGTGGAATACTGAGCGACCACATATTCCACTCATCATCAGGGATTCATGATTCAGGATGTTTATTTTCAAATTCACGGTAAAAATACACAGTGGTTCAACAGTGCAATGAAAGTCTGACTTTTTCCTCCTGTGTACCAAGTATAAAGAATGTCTAATTTTACAACAAAAAATCTGTTAGAATTGTAGAGTGTGTAATGATTTGTGCAACAGATAAATACTTTTAGTGCTGTAATTACTGCAGTGTTTCCCGACCATTTTCTGAGCCAAACAACACGGTGCAGCAAGATAAAAGAGTCACAAAACGTATATGTAACGAATTATATGATCTTTTAGTTTCAATTCACTCAATTTACTGACTCAATGTGCAACATGGTCCTGTTTAACTGAACTCAAAATGGATGTACTTGTAGCAATTGAAGAAAGACACTCATGAATTTTCTTAATTTGTTTTTGTAGCCATGTGCTGCCATCTCGTGGAAACGTGCTCAGTTGTTTTGCCTGTCACTGTTGCAGAATCAACAAAGATTAAATATGTTAATTTGGCTAATTTTACAGGGTACACTGTAGTCCATTTATAATGAACCATTAAACCAAATCTCTTCCTATTTGTTAGTCTGGACTGTTGCAGGGAGCTGGAGGAACTCCTGACACACACAGGGAGAACAGGAGAACCAACCTACCTCCACCACGTGGTCAACGTGACATCATAATTGGGACAAATGGGAGGGAGGTTCCTCTCTAATTGATGACCTCATCGCTGATGTCTCCCCCGTCATTATCAGTCGACTCCCATTCTGCAACTCCGGGGTCACGGGGTGACCTCTGCTTCTGTACAGAGCAGCATTCAACTGATCCAAGCCCAGCCGACCACCGTATGCTGTGCTAGCTGTCATCTGTCAGATGCCAGGTTGGACACACACACAAACACACACACATTTCAAAGGGACACATGGTCTTTGAAAGCACACACTGCCACCAGCTGCTGTTTGATGATACAAACAGAGAACAGGTTGGTCACGGACGCAGCCGTGGAGCAGTCAGGAGTGTCAGGTTGTCTGAGATCATTATCAGTGAACCTGGCCGAGCCTCTGTACTTCCACTTTGTGAGCTGTCTGGACCTTCTTCAGGAGAAGGGTTTGAAGGAAAAGATTCAATAATTCATAGAACATCATGTCCCATAAGTCTCCAGGTGATAATGATGTCCGACCTTGGGGCGGCTTTTCAAATCTTCATCTAGTTAGGTTTCTGTGCATTTGGAGTATCAGCAGGTACGTATGTATTCGTGATTAATCACGATTATTCATGATTAATCATGATAAATTGAGAATCCCAAACATGACAACAAAAAAGCTGGAACAAGAAGTCAAGTAACAGCCAATAATTAATTAAAATCACAATCAAAAATATTACATCATAAAAATACTGTATATCAAAACAATGGAGAAGAGTTGCTGTGTGTTTCAATACAGAGTCCAGTGAATAAAAAATGTTATTATTATTATTATTATTTGATTTTCTATTTCTCTGTGGGTTTGCAGTATCGCCCTCTCCGACAGATGGCGCCGTAGAGGACAGTCTATGCAACCAAAGCCAACAGTCAACCTTAAATCTGGTTTTGAAATGTTTTTGGATGCAGGTGTTTGAACCAGAGATCTTCATGCTGAAAGGCAAGAGCTCCACTCCCTTGTTACGTATGCATATTGATTGATTGATTCATTCATTCATTCATTCATTCATTGATTTGAAGTACACAAAGTTTAGTCTGGATTTTATTCAATTACAAATATTAACTTCCCTTTGATTATTTCCACTGACATCTCTGATTTTCAAACACATTACTTTCATATCAAACTTTTACACTTTTATTACAATATACTCAACAGGAAGTTAGAGAGGCGTCATTAGTGACAACCCATTCATATGGTCTCGTATGTTAACACCCCACACTCAACTCCACGTCCACTCGCTCATGCACCTACAGCTCGTCCACTTGGTTGCCGTAGCATGCGCTCAGGGACGGAGGAGCCGTCCCCAAACGTGGCGTTGGACATTATCATTATGCAAGTGTCTCAATCTCAGCAACCTCTGAGCTGCACTAATCACTGCTGTTATAATTGATCAACAGGAAGCCTGGCCCCTGTTCCCTGATGGATGCCCACAGGACCGTGGTTCTGAGTGGCAGCTTGGCAGCCAGTGGTGGAGAAATCCATCACACCCTGACAGGAAGGAGAGGGATGCGACGTGTCGTCCTGCCCAGAGAGGCCAGCTCCTGTCAGCCTAATGAGGCTCCCAGTGACAGGTGACGTGGCTGTTGGAGCCTGTTTGTTTTAACCCACGTCAGAGGAATCTCAGTCTGTTTACGGGTCACAGTACACTGGTAGGCTTGTCTACTTTATGAAGATGAAAAAAAGAAAAGTTTAAGTTGGTGGTGTGGGGGTTAAAGGTCTCCCAAAAATTACATGGACAGAATTCAGAAGTACTGTAGTAATGAAGTAACTATGCAGGAACAGTGGTTCCCAAGGTAGGGGGCGAGCAACACTTAGAGGGTCGCTGAACTTGATGTGGCTTGGAAAATTAATTTAATTTTTATACTTTTCTTTATTTGTGCCAACGTGGGAAAATCACGATTGACAATCAGTGTTTTAAGAATTACAGTGCCCCTTAGTCCAGTGACGTATATTTGATTCAACAGTGTAGCTTCAGCGTCAACACCGCCACCCGGTGGAAGAGTGGTCTCTCAAAGCCCTTCACCTCTCCTCCCCTCTTACCCAGACCCTGCTCGTCTGGTGCCCATGTGTGGGTATCAGGTTGTCTCAGCAGATACACATGGTTCCCACATGGACGCTCTTATCGATTCCTCCCACACCGCAGACACCAGGGATAATGAAAGGGTTTTCCTCCCCGTCCAAGTACCGTAGCTTCAAGTTTCTCGTGCACGTTTTTGTGTGTGGGAAAAAATCGGCCGCTTCTGTCAATAGAGAGACCCAGACCCAGACCTACATCAGGGACCTTAAAACTCATTGCATCGTTAATTCATAAATCAACCCCATAATTATTATGTTCTTAATGGACTGAAAGAAAAACATTTTCCTGATTTTTTTTTTGCAGCAAGTTTTGATCTGAAAGAACATTTACAGGGCATCTTTGTTCTTTGGAGTTGTGGTTAGGAGTATTTGCAGTATTTGCAGCCAGTTCTTGCCATGTGTGGGTCATGTGGTATTGGTCAACTTTTGTGTGATTGGTGTGAATTTGGTCTGTGGGTGTGGTTAACTCTGGTCCAGTTGAGGGGTCAATCTTGACACCTAAGTTTACATTTTCCCTCCATTTTCCCATCCTCAGTTCCACCCCAGTGGAAAGGAATGATAGTTTATCTGTGGAACATGATAACACGATGCAGGTGCCCCCCGGTGTTCCGCAGCACTAGGCGTCGCTGCCTGCAGACGTGAACCCTTTGGCTTGGTCTGCTCAGTGTCAGACCTGCAGAGCAGAGCGGAGCGGCCCTGACGAGTGATCTCAGGTTAACACCCGTGAGCTGAGATTACACAGAGATGCAGCTGCAGCACTTAATCACATGGGTAATAGGCTGGGATGCTGGTGCCACAGGGACAAAGGATCACTAATGGATCTCAGGCTGATGTAGAATCCGAGGGCCCCGTTCCCTGACTTTTTTTTTTTCCACCTGACTCCATTACATTTCAAGGGTACATGAAACTCATCCTGCACGTTTAAAAATAGCAGAAACGCTCCATGTAACCTGATTTTAAGCACCGCTCCGGGCGTTTTAAATCCACGGCGTGATTTATCAAAGTTGACGCATCAATTTCTTTGCACTCCAAAATTTGGTTGCATACGCCGGCTGTTTTTGGTCATAAGATAATGTTCTGTCACAGATGTGGATGTGAGAACATCAGATTTACATTTAGTGTGGGAAAAGCTTTCATAGCCCACAGTCAGAGGCTGTCACTTTTAATCAGGCCTGCACATTTATCAGTGCAGTAGGATACAAAAACTATACTGCATTGGTATTGTGGAAAAAACACACACCATCACGGCACAGTCCTGCAAGAGATTACCTGTATTTTCTGCATTTTTCTGAGTGTCAGAGTGGAGCTGAATGCATCATCAGTCATCGCTGATGACACTTTTAATCACGCAGTATTACAGTACTGCACAGTGCGCAGTATCACTACTGCAAAATTGCAGATGTCAGACATACACTACACTACAAATGTTATACTGTTTATACTATAAATATGAGTACTGTATACCTAATTTTACTATATTTTGAAAATATATCCACGGTGTTTACACACATTCTGTTCTTCTAACGTTTTTGTTTTTTTCTTTTTTTTTTGCTGGAAGGTTTTCACTGGCATTTTCTTAAAAGGTCACCTGAGTCGTTCACTGTTTGCTCGCCTGACTTTTATAAACCACGTGTTTGATTCTATTGATGTGTTATAGAATTTTTTTGATGAACTGAAGGCTCAGCTCAGTGGATCTCAACACTTTTCCAATGATTTACCCTTTGTGGGAAAAAAAATCCTCAGCCAGTTGCCCCGGAGCAGGGCATTTATAAAACCTAAAGTGCAACAGACTCTGGAGCCCCTCTTCACCTGTACGGACATTGAGACATTTAAAAACAACTTAAACAACAAAACAACAACAACATAACAACAAACAACAAAATATGATGCCGCAAAAAGAAAGAAAATAATACTTAGATTTTATTTAAAATTTCACAAAATAACAACACTAAATATTTTATGTAAAATGTTTATATAAAATATTTTTGTCTTTTTTTTTCAGTACATCTCACTCGCCAGGGGTCAGCCTACCAACATTTGAGCACCACTGTTTTGTGAGAATGCCTGAGGTGAGTTTGTTGTATTTAAATCACTGTCCTTGTAAAAGAGTGTTTAAAATTATTATAAAAATATGATGCCGCAAAAAGGTCACTGGTTTGATCCCCATCTGTTAATGATTAACATAATGTACAAGGTTCTCCCTGTGTCTGTGTGTTTTCACTCTTACCTGACCATAGTTGTGAATGTGAGTGTGATAGTGATGGACTGTGTCCTCAGTTTCAGTGATGACACCACTGACAAGTTGTTATGGATTTATACAAACCTGCAGCAGCAGCAGGAGCAGCAGCAGTAAATACCATCTGTTAAACATTTGTTTTTTTTAAATATTTAATTAAATCCTCATTTTTGCTAATTATTCCACACTGACTGGAAACGTTGTGAGCAAACACTCTCTGTTAATCATTGTTCTGAGTACGACTGTATCATTATTACACACACTGACGGTGTACATGTAGTTCAGTGAAAGTGTGTGTGTCCTCAGGCTTCGGACACCAATCTGCAGACAAACATGGAGTCCTTTAAAAACTCTGAAACTTTGGAAACCTATCACGTCCACGGTGCTCGGAGGCAGGAGAACTCTACAGAACCTTTTTATCACAGTGTTCCCTCAGCGACACTTTACATCTTTGACATTATAAGGAGTACAAAAATAGTAGAGTTCAATCATGATCCAGAGGTCGAAGTGCCAGAGTCTGCAGGGCATCAGGTGTGTGTTGTTGCACCTCAGCTGTGAGGTCTCACTTGGACTTCTGCAGACACTTACTTCCTGTTGGACAATCCTCTGGCGCCGTCTGGTTCTCCAAACGCCAAACCTTTCACTCCTCCCAAACTTTTCTAATTGCCGGACCAAACATGCAGCTCGGTGTGTCCAGACACACACACGTTCCTCCTCAGCTGCATTTCTGATTGGACCCCGAGCGTGTGCAACGCACATGAACGGATCTGCTCGGCCGTAATTGGTGCTGAATCACCAGAAGAAACATCAGAGGGCAGCAGAGAGAGAGAGAGAGAGACGTGCTCCTCTCCAGCTCATTAACCAACGCCTGTTAGCTCCCAAATAAATTGGTGAGATTTTACCACTGGAGAGGCTGATTGGTCCATTTTTCCTCCACCCACTGACTGATCTGTCGTAGGTGTAGTGAGGCACAGCAGTCTCCCCCATTCCTGCCCCACTCACTCCGTCTCCCTACACACACACACACACACACCATTCGAGGCCTGAGCAGCAGCCCGTGGGTCCAGCAGATGTGAGTGACAGAGTGTCTCCTGACGTGTTAGACTGCCTCAGCTCAAAGGTCACCTCCACCTGCAGTTCCCCTGTCCTCCTGGGCTCACATCCAGCTCGGTCCAGATGGCTGACAGAAAAGTTAAACAAGCAGCAGAGTGATGGAGTTGAGGAGCGGCCCGAGGAGGGGAACAACACCAAAACTTTTCTGTGTGAAGCTCTGGATAGACACTGAGTGTTCTACCAGCAGTTCTTCAGCTCTGATGAGTCTGGACATATGATCCCACTGATCTAAGATCTGTACTGTACTGATGGGTGGGTGGGGCGGGGTCACAGTTCTCTGAAAACAACTGATCCTTCTCAGGTGGTAGTAATAATAATAATTATTATTATTATTATGAAGCATACATTACACAATCTTTACAAACATATACCTAATCTGAATGATTCCCCTCTGTCTAATCCAGACCTGATTCTAATCCGAACTCCAAACTCTCTTTTTAATGGGCGCCTGAAAAATGTCCCGGAAGGATAGCTAACCACACACACACACACACATTACTGGTCAGTGTCGGTGGACACCCTGCCCCCCCCCACTTCTCCCCCCCCCCCCCCCCCCCCCTCAAAACACCCAGGGAGTGTCGGTGCTGAGATATGGGTCGATAAACAATTTGGTTCAACATGCCTAATGGAGAGTGGAGTCGTTTATATATTCACCTGCTTGTAAATCCAGCAGATTACACCCAGGCTTCTGGACACGCCCCCTGGTGGAGGTGCAGAAAACCTTAAGAGAAACTTACATCACGGGATAACTTTTACACTGTTGTGTTGAAAAGACCCACAAAGTGGGCCGCGAAGTCTGGACTTGTCTGCAGGATAGTGATAGTGATGACCACATGTATGTTTTTATGTTTTTACATCTTATATTTTATTTGGTTGTTGAACAGGTTGGACATAAATACTGAGATGGTGAACACATTACTGTGAATCATTATTTATGTTACTATGTACAGCAGTTGGACTGGGCACTAAACAATGATTGATTTTTTTTTCAAAACACAGGCTCCGCTGGCCAGTTCTGTCGTGGAGAAAACCATCTCCTCCCCAGGTCAGTCCAGCTCCTAACCATGTATGTTCATATTTATATTGATGCATACAGTGGATTTATTTATATGTATATATGTATTGTTTTCTAAATTATATTTTTATATATTTTAGATACAGCTGTGTGTGCGTAGTGCACCTTGGAAAAAGTTGATCTAAAGCCTAATCCAGATCCAGATCTGAACAGAAGTCGATAGCACAGGTTCGTTTTCACATAACACCAAATATAATTTCCATTAAAGTGTAGGGATGTCTAATCACTGTGAAGTTTTTCACTTGAACGACTCAAGTTACAGACTCCCATCTGTTCACATTTTTTTACAGAAACTCTGAGAGACTTTGCACCTGTGCTCGGTGAGTCATTTTTATACAGTCATCTGGCCCATATGGGCTGCATATCACACTTTTCAGTTGCCCACTTCACACCCACTATAAAGGCTGGTGCTAAGATGGTGGAACTGGACACTGGCTTCATTGTCAGCAGCCGGGGTGAAGAACTGAGACACCAACACCGAGTGCTTTTTGTTTGTTGTTTTCATGACGATACGCTCCACACTGTCAGTCAACAGCTGTGTCTCTCTGCATGTGTGCCGCTGCTCTTGTGTCCAAACACACATGCGGTGGGTGGTGGGGGAGTAGGGACAGCGGTGGGGGTGCAATAATATACATTTATAACTAATGTGTGTGAGGGGGGACTGAGAGACTTCGGTTTAAGGCAGCCAGTGCCCTAGTGGTGATACGGGGAAATGTTCTACTACGTTCATGCAAATGAATATGTTTCCTGTTTGAGGTCTAACTGAAGCATTATCAACATGAAGTATTTACTGCTGCTTTCTGTGCCTTTACCTTTAAAGGTAATCAGCCATGGCGTGCAAAGACCTGAGGACGGGGTGCATGCCATTCTGGCAGGTATGGCAAATTGACAGGACACTGGCAACAAAATAAAGAAGAAGAAGAAGGAGCTTCAGTTGAAGGTGTGTGAGTTTCTCCAGTTTCCTCTCACAGTTCTTAACATGCAGCTTGTGGATCAGGTTATTTGGTTACTCCTAATAGACCATCGGTGTGAATGTGAGTGTGAATAGTTGTTTGTCGCTACATGTGAACCCTGTGATGGACCGGAGCAGAGTGAAACGCTGCCCCCACCGGTCTGTTGAAAACTTTTCTTTTTACTGCCTTCTGTTAAAATGACTGACAGCTGATGCCTTTTTGGTTTTGATCAATGATCCTGGAAAGTTTGGGTGAAGTCTTGACTTGGACTTGACTTGGATTCAGACAAAACTTGGGAGGTTCTCTCCACTGTTCAGATAAGTGACAATCTGCTGCTTTAAACACCACTGTGAATTCAAGAGTCAAGACTTTGGTGTGTACTGTTCCTGTACATTTACTTTGAATCGTCAGAGTACCCTCACATATCCTGTGTATGCCCCCACCCTGTCTCTCTTTGAGGAGGATTGGAGGGACTTCAAACAACCCATTCGTGGTCTGTTCAACACACACACACACACATACATACACACACTTATCTTTTCACTGTCACCTTGCAGCGCAGCAGGTCACCTCTCTCCGTCTTTCAGTCCACCCTCCCCCTCCTCCCGGCCCTCACTCGTCTAAAATACTCAGAGCGGTGATGCTCTGACTTTATCAGCTGCAGGTCTGAGAAGCTGTGAAGCTCTGCTTTTGCACCTCTTGGCCCCCATCCTCACCCTCCCCCCCCGGCCCCTCCCCCCACCTCCCACATTGATGCAGTGGAGCGTGATCACACCAGGTGGGCGACAGCTGCACTGTGCCAACTCTGAGAGTTTGACTCATTGATATGACTATATTTATGGACGGTGCCTCGAAATAGTGCTGGAAGTGGAAATGTGTTGGAGACTCAGATGTCTCTCTGTGTGTGTGTAATAATAATAATAATAATAATAATAATAATAATACTGCTGATAATAATAATTTTATTAATAATTTTAATAATTATTGTTATTGTTATTATTTTGAAATTCCAACATCTTTTTTTCGTCATTATTATTGATCTCTTAGGTTTATAAAAGAAAAATTTGTGAATTTTATATTATTTTTTATCATTTTTAATATTTTTTACACAAAATGTCAACATAAGGAAATCATCATGATGTACTTTATAGAAAATAATTATTTTAAAATTGTATTTAATTTATTTGGATACGTGTCTTTTAAAAATCACACATACCCCTATGGCTTTGCCTTAAGTACACCCACGAGGACACGTCTCCCTGATTAAGAACCTCTACTCTCTTGTCAAGACCGTTTCCATGATTAGCCACATCAACAGAGCCAACACAGCGGGTTTCATTTCTCTCCATTTTCCTCCCTGTGAGAGTCGAGTGAATCCTTGACCAGGTGGATGACCAGGCCTCCCCTTGGTGTGGGCTAAACCCTGACTGTCTGTGACCCTCATTAGCTTGGAGTGGGTAAATCCTGATTAATTGCCCCCGAGTGATGATGAGAATGTGGGGAGGACCTCCTCTGGAGTGCAGCAGCAGCAGTAGCAGCAGATATGATTTGGCCATCTGCCTGTGAATCTGTGGTTCTCCTCATCTGTGTGCCAGGGTCACCTCCATGCCCAGCTCTGTTTGTCTGGATAATTAGATGCTCGTTTCTCGCTGCCAGACTCTGCTCCCTCTGGATTTATGATGGTCGTGGCCACGCTGGCCTCAGGAGGATGCTGTGTGTGTGTGTGTGTGTACATGGCAGGGAGGCCAAGTGAGACATGGCTGTCCTACTAAGTGAGGGGACACAAGGTTGTTTATGGTAGGCTGGATTGGTGTCGTGGATATGGAGATAAGACAGTGCCCTGAAATAAATCATAGACAGAGAGAGAGGGAGAGAGTTTCAGCAACCACTGCTGATGCTAACATTTAATAGTCATATATTTTTCTTGCGAACTGTGCGTACCTGTTTTTTATATCCATGACTTTTCAGTTTCTCTAAATATTCGGGACTAATTTTCTGCTGCCTTCATATACTGTGTGTGGTTCGTGGTTTTTGTCTGATGCTGCTGTTGGAACAGGGGACAGTTTTATTACAGTATTAATAAAGTACTTTTTCCTTTCTTCTCCTTTGGTTTCTTCTTTTTACTCCTCTTTCCTTCTGTCTCCCGCCCTTCATCTACAGTTGATGGCTTTGACCTCTTTGTTCTGTTAATGGTCTTATTCAAAGCACAGATGATTAAAGAGAAATGTGTGCGTCATTAAAGAAATAATAAAAAAAATCATTAAATACATCACTGACCTTTGACCTCCTGACGTATTGAGGTTGGATAAACACCTGGTTATGAATCGGCAGTGAGGCTGCGTGTCTGACCTTCTTGATCACAGATTTGACCTCCAGGCTTTTTCTTGCTTTGAACCAATTTATTTTCCTTCAACAGAAACCAACCTTTGACCTTTGTCTCTGTGTGCTTGTGTCATTCCTGATGTTCTCTCAGGCTGCTGTCTTGTCAAACAAGAGGATTCTTCTTTTCTTTCTTTTTGTTTATGGGCCATTTTTATTCTGTTTCGTAAGACGTCACATGACCCGGTGATAAGAACTCATGCCTCACAGCAGGAAAACTATTCCTGGCTCCTGTTCTCACTGTATGTGTCTGAATCAACACCTTAACAATAACCGACCTTCACACAGTAGGAGGGGGCGTGGGGGGGGGGGGGGATTTATGTTTGTATATGTGTGTGTGTGTGTGTGTGTGTGTGTGAAAGAGAGAGAGAGAGAGAGAGAGCGAGAGGGTAAGAGTGTGTGTGTCAGACTTCACATTATTTGAGAGCCAGTGTCTGTGATTTGATGGCTGATTGCATGCAGGTGTGTCAGAGTTAGCTAGTAGCATAGCGATTACCTCCGTTAGCTACAACAGTCCTGGTACAGACACCGGAGTAAATAATTTGATCTGAATTGATATTCATTAAAATGCTAATTCCTTCTGTTATTTAATTATTCAGCTGCTAAATAGTTTTATTAGTTTTTATTGTCACCACTAGAATGTTTTTAGACACGAGAAACAAAAACAGTAGCAGTTTTGTATTTAATTTAACAACAGCAGCTTCTCACTGGTTAATACGCATGGAAAGACATCAAGGACATTTAAGATTAGGATTAGAAATGATAGATACAGGTTTGTACTCTGGAAATATAATGCAGTTGTACAGTTAATAGCACATTAGGAGAGAGGATTATCCTTCAGTTGAAAATAAATCATTCACTTCAGAGGATCTAGATCCCAGTTGAGTGTCTGAGACCTTGTAGTAAAAGTAATCTGCCGCTGAAAATCTGTTTCTATGAACAGTTTTCACGTAAAACCAAAAGCCACTAAAGCTATAGACAAGAACACATATTGAGGTTAGTCTATACAGTGCTGTAGAATATCGACACTGTGTTATGAAAGAAAATATTGTGATATTTCAGTGTATCGGTATTTTCTAACACCACTAGGAATTTTATATATATAGAGAGAGAGGAAAAGTCAAAGTTAATGCTGAAACATCCATTGAATATCAGCTGGAATGTGACAGTGTCAAAGAGCTGTTTGATATTCCTGTCTCCACCTTCTACAGACAGCAGTTTGAATGGCACAGTCAGAATGGAGGCAGTGCCACTGAACTACATCCCATTATCTAAACCTTTCTGAAGCTCTGTCATTCACTCTGTGTGTGTGTGTGTGTGTGTGTGTGTGTGTGTGTGTGTGTGTGTGTGTGTGTGTGTGTGTGTGTGTGTGTGTGTGCATCTGGACACATCTGGCTGTTTGCCAGCCTGTGCTGCTGCTGTTGTCGTCAGCTTTATCACCTCTGTCACTGAGCTGTGACTAATACGAACACAAGTCTGACATCTGGCTTATTCAATCTGCCGCCTTTAAATCGGCCTCCTGTAAAGATTCATGCTTTTCTTCAGAGGACGAGAGACAGCTGCCTGAACAGTGTCGGCACGGATGGTGATTATTTCTCTTTAAGGACGACATCAGCATCAGAACGTGTTGTGTTTGTACACTCCTTCATTCTTCCTTTCTTTCATCTCTTGCTGATCAGTTCTTGTCAGGGTCGACAGAGGAGCCTCCAGTGAGGGCGGGGTTATTACACCTTTAGCCTACAGCAGTTTGTCTGTGGACGTCTGTCACTAAGTCCACATACTGTAGGACTGACACATTTGTCCAATCATCACAAAGAAGACCAGGCGTTTGGCCCGCCCACTGCTTGAGAGCTTGAGCCTGGCTTTTTTTATGAACAGTTCAATATAATTCACAACATGCAGTAATGTGTGGCAGGATTGTGCAAGAAGAAAACCCACAGCAGTACAGTGGGGCAGTGGAGATAAGAGTTGAATCCGTACCACAACAGCACTCGTGTGTCTGTCGACTCGTATCTAGATTGCATTTTCCCCATTAAAAATAACTAAGAATCTTGCAAAAGTTGCTTACTTGTAAGTTGGAAAACTCGTTTTTCAGGTAGCTCGTATCTCGAGATAGTAGTATCCCGATGCCCCGCTGTATACGTCCCAGGGACTGGTGTCCATCTGACCGGGATGGAATGGGAGGAGGAAGAGAAGGAAGAGTGGTCAGGGAGTCAGTGCAGTGATCTTTCATCAAAATCCTGTTACTGTTGAATAATTGAAGTATCTCCTCGCACACATTCATTTCCTATCATCTCCTTTGCCTCTAATTCACTGGGAGAATTAATGAGGATTGACATGGCCACTCTTTCTTGTGCTGTCAAAGTCAACGTGGAGCTGTTGCTAAGCAGGGCATGTGGCTGGAACAATGAGCTGATGCTGAACACCCCTCACCCCCCGCCCACCTCGCCCACAATTTTTTATCCTTGCTTTCATCGGCTTCTAAGAAAATAGGCCACAGAACAATGGGATATAATGTTAATTAGCCTCAGTGTTAATTGTAATCAACATTATCAAAGTGCAGCAGATAGACTGCAGTTCCATTCAGTAAAAGTCCCAACGTGAAACA